GAAATCGTAGTCATTGATATGTTTTTTGTTTATGAAACTTTTATTTATGTTTGGAAAAGTATATGTGTTTGATCCTTATTGGTTCAACTTACTTGCACTTTTGGTTGTTAATTAGACATTAACACATGTTTATCTTTTGTTGTATGAAAATCATTTCCTCTAGTATACAATGTTGCAATTTTGAGTATTTGCCCAAGTGAGAGAAATTATATGTTATGGGCTTCACACTCATCATTTTGCATAATTTAGGTAGATAAATGTACATTATCATACTTGTTTATATTTTATTTATTACATGCAACTAACCTTGCAGGAAATTCTAGTTTGAATCACTATTGTTATACATCATTAATGAACTGATAAATGCAATATGACTAGATTTAAATCCAGAAGAGTTAATACATATTTTCTACTCAAAAGTGTTTGCTTATTAATTTTTCCTTATTTATTCAAGAAATTGAACTTGTGATTTAATGTTATTGATGGATATTAATCTACCCAAAAGTGTTTTCTTATTCAGTCCAATTATAAATCAATGTACAGTTAAACATGAAATTGACAAGATTGTATATACTTTATCTGCTCAAAAGTGTTGAAGCTTATACATTTCCCCTTGTATTTTATGTTTTAACTGTGAAAACCTAATATAATCAGATTCTATCTAAAGATGATTCTAGAATTATATGCTTTTGTTGCATCAGAAAACATTTAGTTAAAGTTTTCTCTTTTTTTTAGATGAATAAAACTGACTACATGATTTTGTATAACTTTTTGGTCACTCACTTCCTTACAATATCTGGCATAGAGATGAAGTCAGAAAAATTAGTAGTTGATGTTGAATCCTCAGATTTCGTAATCATAAATCCTTTTACTAATGTTTGATCAGTGTGAGTGTATTAGAGGTATATGCATTTATGAGATTTTCACTTTTATAACCAGTGGGAGTTTGAAATTGCCTTTTATTTTATTATTGAATTAAAGTGTCAGTGGGTGATTGTGATATCCCGTCCCCAAAATTATTATTTTATTTTATTCTTGACGTAATTCGAAGATTTGATTGGAACTAGTTCTTTATTTCTCCAAATTTAAGAAAACGAAGTGAGGGGTACTTTAGTCATTTTCAATTTTCTCGACCTTTTTGGTCAACTCTTGAATTGGTTAGGTAGAGCTCGATTCCATGAGCGCGTAGGCGTAAACAGATCTTATTTCTGAGTCCGAACGGAGAAGTTAGAGTCGTTTAAAGTTGGTGGCATTTTGATAATATTACCAAAATGCTATAAATGGGAGGGAAACCTCCAGAAAAGGGGGAAGCTTTCAGAAAATGAAAGGGGGAGAGCTGCCTAACCCGTTTTAGGGAGAAATTGACCCATAAAACCACCAAACTTGACCCGTTTGTATCTTTTTCATCCGAGCTCCGTTTTGGATGATCTTGGTGTTCATGGAAAGCTCTTGACGAGCTCTACATCTCTGTGATTTTAGATTTTCCCATTTCTTTTCCCATCTTTGCAGTTCGAGGTCGCAAAGTCCACGACCTTGTCGGCAAATTTATCATCTTTCCGGCGATTGCGGCAACGATTTCCTTCGAGTGAGGTATGAAACTTCATCTACTCTTCATAATCTTCAAGTGGGTATGCTTAGTTTGTGCTTTTGCATTCATTTTAGAGTTGGGTGTTTAGAACCTTAGAAATCCGGTTTTCTCCAGTGAAATTGGACGGTTTCCAGTTAGAATTTATTGTCGGCCTAGATGTGAAAAGTGTTTCCTTTGTTGAGCTCTAGCTACCACGTAAATTTGAGCTCATCTAGTTAATGTTGAAATTTGGGGTTTCTAAACCCTCCATCTTGACTTCCACCGCGTGTGGCGGTGTGTGGGATTGTTCACGAGTGTTATCTAGGTTTCAAATACCTTCTAGCGACCATGTGAACCTATGTCTAGCTTGGTTTCCAAAGATTCAATTGTTTGGTGTGGTGATCAATTTTGGACCGCCACTTGTTTGTGTGATTGACGACCAATCCGACCATTGGATTATAATGAAACCTTAGTATGTTATCCTCGAAGCATAATGTGGACTTTGGGAAGTTATGGATCATAAATCTGATTTGCGTATTGTTGTGGACCCCATCGTTGACCGAGAGTTGATTTATGGTCAACATGTCTCGGAATGTTCTAAATAATAAAATTAATACCATGGGAGACTTAAGTGAAGTCTAGTGGGCCTACATTGGTTAGAGAGTGGCTTGAACATGTGTGATATGGTTATTACCTTGATTCTTATATTGGCATCATTTGTGAATTTGACTTGGTCTTATAATGTGATTCTATTGAAAGGTGATTATATATATACACTTAGCCATAGACCTAAGTTTATTAACCATGATTTGGCTTGTGTACTAATGATGATCGTGGTATGTGAATTGACGTGCATATTCGAAAGGTCGTTGATTCACATAGAGGGTATGATATGATGAAATGTGGGTGACTTTAATTTATGTGAATATGAAATGGTTTTATAATCATTTTTCCCATAAATTGTTAAGTTTCATATTTAGCCAATGACATAGTTATATGAAGTGGGATTTGGCGTGCATATTGGAAATATGGTTTGTTTCTATGATTGGCTTGATTTGATGAGGTGAGGGCTAGTGGTGGACCGTTAACCCATTGTCATGGGGTTTGTTGTTTTGAAACATGTGTCAATGCTCGTTTCATTATTTCATCTCTTGTTTCGTTGAGCCTTTATAACTTGAGTAACTTGATTCATGTGTTGTTTCATTGATTGGTGGTTATGCAATGTACTCCGCGATTCCGTTGAGTGATGGTCCGGAATCGTGTCCTGGTTTGGATTCCGTTGAGTGATGGTCCGAAATCCTTCCTACTCCACTCCGCGATTCCGTTGAGTGATGGTCAGGAATCGTATCTTGGTTTAGGTTCCGTTGAGTGATGGTCCGGAATCCCTCTTACTCCGTGATCCCGTTGAGTGATGGTCCGGGATTGTATCCACCTTAGTTCATTGAGTTTCGTTTGAGATGGTTGCAAAGGTGTAGGCTTTGGATGAATAGTATCGCCCTAATTCTACTTTCATTGTGTGTATGTGAATATGGGTGTGAGATGTTATGGTTGTTTGGGATGAATTTTTGGATGTCTGGGTGACTCCCTCGGAGTTTTCAAAGGTTTGGTATTGATTTCTTATGAAGGATTTATATTCAATGTTTATAAATTTTGATTGATGGCTGGGTTTATTATTGTATTACATACTTATTTTATTGTCCCTCACCCGAGCCTCTCAACTTATCTGAGTGCCTGAATTGCCAGTGCACTAATTCCATAATATTGGCATTAACTTTACATATGACAGGTTTGGGTAGATTATGAGAAACCGCTTGATATTTTGGTTCCGTTGAGTGGTCCGGAACCCAATGTTGTTGGATTCCGTTGAGTGATGGTCCGGAATCCCCTTTGGAGCCTTGGTCCATTGGGTGGTCCAAAATCCCCTTTTTCCAAAGATGTAGTCTTCAACTGAATTGTGTTGCTCTAGCCTTGCGTTTCGACTTGTTGTATGTGTTATTGATGATGTGATGGTTGACATTATTGATTGATGTGATTATGGAATGACGTTGGATATGAGTGGAGTTATCATGAGTATTTTAGTTGATTAATATTTCTAGAGAATAACATGTTCTTTGTTAATTCTTAAATATGTTACACGCTATGAAACGCGAATTTATGTGGGAAACGTGATGAATTATGTGAGGGTTGAAGTGGATATGTTAATCGTCATGTGGGATTGTTATGTTGGATACCATGGTTATTGTTATGACTAGACTTGTTGATAAATGTGGCTAGAGAATGGTATTATACATCGTTGGTTCTTTGAAATGATATATGTTGTGAATTGCGGTATCATGTTGTGACATAATGGCCTATATATTGATGGAGAGGAAATCATGATTTTTCAGATGGGTTGTTATGTAACCCTGAGTCTAGTATTTTCATGCTTGTCAAGTTCTATTAATTGATTGAGAAATGTTATACTTTTCGACTTAATTGGACTGTGTTAGATGTCAATTATTGTGCATGACGAACTACGAATGGCTTGATCCCTGTTTAGGGTACGTAGGCAGTCTAACAGGGAGGTTAGATGCAGCTATAAAGCATACGAAAAATAACTATCTGATTCGTTTTTTTGAGTTGTGCTTGCCCATATCCCGGAGGTGAGATATGATAGATACGGATTTTTGGTGACGTCACGTGTCAATTCTGGACGTATGTTGGGATTGGGGCGTGACAACTTTTATGGTATCAGAGCATTGGTCCTTGGACCTTTGAATTTTCAGCGGACGCTGATTCTTGCCCTGTATTATTGGTGGTGTCAAATTTAGAGTTTCCTTAAATTTGTGAACCTTGGAGGGAGAGACTAGTACGTCTAGCCTATGGGATATGAATCGGGTAGCTATGTTGATCGTTCGTTCGAATCATTTACATTGGTTGTGGTGATTCAATTCGGATCTGTTTCGTTGTCTTCTTATCCCAAGTGTTCTTTCCGAAAACGTTGTGTTCTCTTGAATCTGGTGACTAAAGTTTCCTTAGTGAGTTGGTCGTTGAGGTAGAAGTTTAGTTTCGTGGTGAAGTGGTTGTCTTGAAATCCCTGTGTTGGATTTGATTGACAAAAGCGTTAGTGGGGGGATACTTCTTGGATTCGTATTTTTGAATTCTTGAAGTATCGAAAGTGAAGTTGGTTAAATTCTTGGTGTCAAAGAGAAGGGCGAGATCCTTATCCAATGTTGATGAAGTGGTTGTCAATACGAGTTCGAATAGTGGTGTGGTAGTTCCTTGTACTTTGGCTTATGGAAATTTCGTGGGCGAAATTTTTATAAGGTGGGGAGGATGTGATATCCCGTCCCCAAAATTATTATTTTATTTTATTCTTGACGTAATTCGAAGATTTGATTGGAACTAGTTCTTTATTTCTTCAAATTTAAGAAAACGAAGTGAGGGGTACTTTAGTCATTTTCAATTTTCTCGACCTTTTCGGTCAACTCTTGAATTGGTTAGGTAGAGTTCGATTCCATGAGCGCATAGGCGTAAACAGATCTTATTTCCGAGTCCGAACGGAGAAGTTAGAGTCGTTTAAAGTTGGTGGCATTTTGGTAATATTACCAAAATGCTATAAGTGGGAGGGAAACCTCCAGAAAAGGGGGAGGCTTTCAGAAAATGAAAGGGGGAGAGCTGCCTAACCCGTTTTAGGGAGAAATTGATCCATAAAACCACCAAACTTGACCCGTTTGTATCTTTTTCATCCGAGCTCCGTTTTGGATGATCTTGGTGTCCATGGAAAGCTCTTGACGAGCTCTACATCTCTGTGATTTTAGATTTTCCCATTTCTTTTCCCATCTTTTCAGTTCGAGGTCGCAAAGTCCACGACCTTGCCAGCGGATTTATCATCTTTCCGGCGATTCCGGCAACGATTTCCTTCGAGTGAGGTATAAAACTTCATCTACTCTTCATAATCTTCAAGTGGGTATGCTTAGTTTGTGCTTTTGCATTCATTTTAGAGTTGGGTGTTTAGAACCTTAGAAATCCGGTTTTCTCCAATGAAATTGGACGGTTTCCGATTAGAATTTATCGTCGGCCTAGTTGTGAAAAGTGTTTCCCTTGTTGAGCTCTAGCTACCACGTAAATTTGAGCTCATCTAGTTAATGTTGAAATTCGGGGTTTCTAAACCCTCCATCTTGACTTCCACCGCGTGTGGCGGTGTGTGGGATCGTTCATGAGTGTTATCTAGGTTTCAAATACCTTCTAGTGACCATGTGAACCTATGTCTAGCTTGGTTTCCAAAGATTCAATTATTTGGTGTGGTGATCAATTTTGGACCGCCACTTGTTTGTGTGATTGACGACCAATCCGACCATTGGATTATAATGAAACCTTAGTATGTTATCCTCGAAGTATAATGTGGACTTTGGGAAGTTATGGATCATAAATCTGATTTGCGGATTGTTATGGACCCCATCGTTGACCGAGAGTTGATTTATGGTCAACATGTCTCGGAATGTTCTAAATAATAAAATTAATACCATGGGAGACTTAAGTGAAGTCTAGTGGGCCTACATTGGTTAGAGAGTGGCTTGAACATGTGTGATATGGTTATTACTTGATTCTTATATTGGCATCATTTGTGAATTTGACTTGGTCTTATAATGTGATTCTATCGAAAGGTGATTATATATATACACTTAGCCATAGACCTAAGTTTATTAAACATGATTTGGCTTGTGTACTAATGATGATCGTGGTATGTGAATTGACGTGCATATTCGAAAGGTGGTTGATTCACATAGAGGGTATGATATGATGAAATGTGGGTGACTTTAATTTATGTGAATATGAAATGGTTTTATAATCATTTTTCCCATAAATTGTTAAGTTTCATATGTAGCCAATGATATAGTTATATGAAGTGGGATTTGACATGCATATTGGAAATATGGTTTGTTTGTATGATTGGCTTGATTTGATGAGGTGAGGGCTAGTGGTGGACCGTTAACCCATTGTCATGGGGTTTGTTGTTTTGAAACATGTGTCAATGCTCTTTTCATTATTTCATCTCTTGTTTCGTTGAGCCTTTATAACTTGAGTAACTTGATTCATGTGTTGTTTCATTGATTGGTGGTTATGCAATGTACTCCGCGATTCCGTTGAGTGATGGTCCGGAATCGTATCCTGGTTTGGATTCCGTTGAGTGATGGTCCGAAATTCTTCCTATTCCACTCCGCGATTCCGTTGAGTGATGGTCAAGAATCATATCTTGGTTTGGGTTCGGTTGAGTGATGGTCCAGAATCCCTCTTGCTCCGTGATCCCGTTGAGTGATGGTCCGGGATTGTATCCACCTTAGTTCATTGAGTTTCGTTTGAGATGGTTGCAAAGGTGTAGGCTTTGGATGAACAGTGTCGCCCTAATTCTATTTTCATTGTGTGCATGTGAATATGGGTGTGAGATGTTATGGTTGTTTGGGATGAATTTTTGGATGTCTGGGTGACTCCCTTGGAGTTTTCAAAGGTTTGGTATTGATTTCTTATGAAGGATTTATATTCAATGTTTATAAATTTTGATTGATGGCTAGGTTTATTATTGTATTACATGCTTATTTTATTGTCCCTCACCCGAGCCTCTCAACTTATCTGAGTGCCTGAATTGCCAGTGCACCGATTCCATAATATTGGCATTTGACTTTACATATGACAGGTTTGGGTAGATTATGAGAAACCGCTTGATATTTTGGTTCCGTTGAGTAGTCCGGAACCCAATGTTGTTGGATTCCGTTGACTGATGGTCCGGAATCTCCTTTGGAGCCTTTGTCCGTTGGGTGGTCCAAAATCCCCTTTTTCCAAAGATGTCGTCTTCAACTGAATTATGTTGCTCTAGCCTTGCGTTTCGACTTGTTGTATGTGTTATTGATGATGTGACGGTTGACATTATTGATTGATGTGATTATGGAATGACGTTGGATATGAGTGGAGTTATCATGAGTATTTTAGTTGATTAATATTTCTAGAGAATAACATGTTCTTTGTTAATTCTTAAATATGTTACACGCTATGAAACGCGAATTTATGTGGGAAACGTGATGAATTATGTGAGGGTTGAAGTGGATATGTTAATCGTCATGTGGGATTGTTATGTTGGATACCATGGTTATTGTTATGACTAGACTTGTTGATAAATGTGGCTAGAGAATGGTATTATACATCGTTGGTTCTTTGAAATGATATATGTTGTGAATTGCGGTATCATGTTGTGACATAATGGCCTATATATTGATGGAGGGGAAATCATGATTTTTCAGATGGGTTGTTATGTAACCCTGAGTCTAGTATTTTCATGCTTGTCAAGTTCTATTAATTGATTGAGAAATGTTATACCTTTCGACTTAATCGGACTGTGTTAGATGTCAATTATTGTGCATGACGAACTACGAATGGCTTGATCCCTGTTTAGGGTACGTAGGCAGTCTAACAGGGAGGTTAGATGCAGCTATAAAGCATACGAAAAATAACTATGCGATTCGTTTTTTTGAGTTGTGCTTGCCTATATCCTGGAGGTGAGATATGATAGATACAGATTTTTGGTGACGTCACGTGTCAATTCTGGACGTATGTTGGGATTGGGGCGTGACAGTGATGGCTTAATAGTAAACTTGTTATTCATAAATCTTGATAAGAGACTAATTTTGTAACTATAATTTGTATCTGCATTTTCTTTTATTATTATGTTTTAATTAACAGAAATCTATGAGCCATGATTTTTCATGAAGTTCAGTGCACATGCAGAAATCGTTGGTTTCATCAATGTGAAATACATTAAAATATTATCTACAACATAATGCTTGCAAATAAGTGTTTGTGGTTATATAGTGCACATGCAAAAGAAATTGCATCTTGTTTTATGTAGTCTGTCATTTAATTTAAAAGTGAAAAATTGTTTAAAGGCATAGTTGCAAATCTTGTAGGATTCAGCGATCACCATTTTTGATTAAAATGAGTACCATATTCTTTGACACTCAAGTAAGATTCAGCCAATTTGTTGGTCTTTCACTACTCCAAAGTCCTGTTGAGGTTTGACCATCAATGAATCCGAGAAGCATGTGAGTGTCAATGAGTATGATTTTTTGATTTTTTGTCAATCAATTAACATGGTTAATGAGTTAATTGGTGTTGAGGAAATTATGGAATCTCATTTTAATTAAGATTTGGAGTCCTTATTATGTGCAAATAATCAAGAGCCCTTATTTGGTTAGACAAGAAATCAATATCAATTAGGACTCTACTGTTATCCTATGATTTGGCAAATTCCAAATATTCAGTAATAGGCTAGATTAGTAAAGTCTTTTCACTATATATAGGTAGTCCCTACTTTCACAAAATACATGTTCAATTCCGAGCAAACCTTATTATTATTAGAACACTTTTGCTTGCTGAAAGTAGAAAACTCATTCGAAACCTTGGCAATCATGTTTTCTTCTTCCTCCTCAGTAGATAAGTTTATTTCCTTTTCATGTCAATTTGATTTATAGTATTCGTAATCTTAATGTCTTTTTGTTCTTATGATTTCATAAATATCCTACATGCCACATATTGTATTGTTGCTATCTTACATGTCGTATATTGTATATGTTGCTATCAAGTGTATTAAGAGAAAATCCTTGTGCCTTTTATGTTCATTATTTTGCACATCAACTTCAATAGTGGCAAAGGGAAATGTTGATATGCCACTTCACATTGACAAATAGTGTAGTTACTAGCGTCACGATGCACTTAAATAACAACTGCAAAAGGATCTCATGGAAACTCTTGAAAACAATTGTTTTATAATGGGGCAACATTTAAATCAAGAAACTAGTCTCAAGTGTCTCGGTGACACACGTTGGAACTCAAATTATGGTACTTTAATTAATATTATTTCCATGTTTGGTTCCGTGGTAAAAGTGCGTGAAATGATTGTTGATGATGGTTCCATGGATAATGTAGGAGAAGCAAATAGGTTAGTGGGAGATATACAATCTTTTGAATTTGTGTTTAAACTATTCTTATTGAAATCTATATTGGAAGCTACAAATGATTTGTCACAAGCATTACAAAAGAAATATCAAGAGACTGTGAACGCTATGGCTTTAGTCAAGTTATGTAAGAAACAACTATAAAATACAAGAGATAGAGGAATTAATTTTTGCTTGATAAACTGACTTCATTTTGTGATAAGTGTGATATTGAGATTCTTAGCATGGATGATGGATATGTAGCTCGAGGGAGATTACAACTTGGAGCTCAAAGAATCACAAACTTTCATCATTATCATATGGAGCTCTTTGTTGCTATCATTGGTAAGCAATTTGTGGAATTAAATAGTCGCTTTCGTGATATAAATATGGAGTTGCTTCTTTATTTGGCATATTTGTGTTTGGATGCTTCATTCTCGACTTTAGATGAACAAAAGCTAATTCGTTTGCTCAATTTTATTTGAATGAAATTTTTTACTTGTCAACTAAGATCAACTTGGGCATTATATTATTGATATGTGTTCAAGTAGTGAATTTTCTTAATTGAAAGGAACTCTTTAGAGCATGCAAAACCTGCTGGAGTATGCTTAAAAAGTAATTGACATGACAACACATAATTGGTTATTCCTGGCAACCCAATGTTAATCGAAGACAAGAGCAAGTGAGGACATCCGTCGATCAAGCACATGACCTAATAGTGAATTAGGAAAGTTCGTTATTGATTAGGATGAGGCTAAGGAATACCTTAAGTTGTAGGGATAAGATTGTAAAGAATTTCAAATTTGAGATACGTACCATATGGATCTTAAGTCTTAAATTATGTTCCTAGCTATATGATGATCAAGTGAACCATCAAACATCCACAAAGGCCGATCATGTTGTATTCAGTAATAAGTCTGAGACTAAGCATGTAGTGACATAGAATAGGTATAAAGGTGCTCATCTATGAGACCGAGTTCACTTAACATTGGCCAACCATAGAAGTGTACAAATGGAAGATTACCTACTTTTCAATCGTACCACACTTCTGAGTTATGGATGCAACTAGTTCTTAGACTTGAGGCATCACTGATTATGTCATGTTAGTGAATGTGATCTTTGGCCTCACATCGAAGCTCTCATACGATAGGGAAAGCTTGTAGTGTAAGGATTGAGATCATGTGCATTAACATGGAGATACGTGAATGCACAATAAAGAATTTGTCACCTTCTAGGTAATCATGAAGGTAGATATTCCTAAAGCCCTTTAACGATCTATCTCCAAAAGTCTTTAGCCAAAGCAACTTATAGGAGATATATATGGGCGATCATATTTATATGTAGAGTTTGACAATAGTTTCGTGCTCTCTAAAATATATGATCCAAATATAGTAGAAAGAAGAACTGAATTGCATCGTAACCATAATTAAGTTTCAAAATATGTGTTGTATGGATTCAAACATATTTTGGCTAATATGGTAGCCGAAAATCATTGCTAGATTTTAATATTTAGTTTATGGATATTCCTATAAGGTTAAATTAGAATAGTTTCTAATTATGTAAAATTAGATTAATTAGATTAATCAAATTATCCATTGCCAGCTTTAGTTGATATTAAATGTTTTAGCTTATATTAATTTATTGGATTGGGCCTTCTATTTATTGTTGGTTATTTGAGCTAAAGTAAAATAAGGAAGCTCAGTCCGAAGAAAATATCGTATTAATAAACTAAATAAATAAATTAAGAGTGAGCTGAATAAAGCTCGGTGACAATAGGGAGGTGCGGCAAGCGCAAGAGAGGTTTCCCTAGGGCTTGTGGCACTCATGTGGTGGTGGAGGATTAAATTACTTATGAAATTATTCTATATATAAGCCTAAGGGGTCTTTAGACCCAAACGACAATTCACAAATTACTGGAGGAGGAGGTCCTAGCAACTCGTCATGTAGTTTACATGATCTTAGTGACAATTCACTCACCGTCAATTTCAATTGAAAAACAAAATGCCACACCCACTCCTGTTTGTCGCTCCACGTACTGGAGAAGAAGGTCCTAGTAACTCGTTGTCTTCTTGCTTCACCAACAAGAGATTCATTCTTGTGGATACTATAGTACATGGCGAACACTTCAGAGCCTTAACCGAATTGAATTCCTCTGTGTATGAAATCTAAAGGTTGAAATTCTAAACTTAATATAAGTTTAAGCATGTGTTCTTAAATTTATTTTTTGTATGAACACAAGCACATGGATTAAACCACAATCACATGGATTAATTTAACATGATTAAACAGAATCCAACGTTCCGCTAACCATTTATATTAATTGAATTACTTATGCTTACGTCATCGGCCACCAGCCACACTTTCGCACGTGTATACTAAAGTAGTTCACAATCCAACAAAACTCTCTCAGTATTGATTGATATAGTAATCCTTAGTAGCTTGTTGTTTTCCAAACACAATATAAAATTTAGTTTTTCAATTCTCATTTGTTATAAAAGATAATAACAAAATGTTTATGAAGTTGTGAGGTGTCTTGTGTTTAATCTTGTATCATTTTGCTTAAGGATTTTTTGTGATCAAAGTTTGCTCTTTGCCTTTGGAAACAGGGGGGGTTCTCAGGGGGAACATCATTCTTGATCTAGCATGTTGAAAAGATGGTCAACAACAACATTGTGAAGTAACCCTTTGATTTGTATATGTAACCTTGCTTGGAAATAAGAAATCAGAAACTTGCCAAGCTAGCTACTGTTGTTTCCAATATATTCAAACATTTGTATGTCTGGTTCGTCATGTACTTTTCTAACCTCAATCAGATATTCGAAAGTAATCGTCACCTTACTTATTTGTCTCTGTTTCCAATATATTCACTATTGACACTATATCTAGTATCACTATTACCACAATCAAAATTAATTTTGCTTGAAGGAGTTAATAAAATTGTTGCCAAATCAATCAGTGTTTTCATATATTTTTCTCTTTTGTAAACCGTTCATTGTAACAACACACTGTTGTAAACCAATGTTCCATTTTAGTATATTATTATTTTTTATGTAATTCAATTCAAATCTCTAAGCAACCTAACTATGAAACCCTTATAGTTTAGTCGAAATATTTTATGATATTGAATTAGGCGAATATTCTACTGTCAATGCTCTCGATGCAGTGTCTTGTATCATAAATAGACTTGGACTATTATCTTGTCTACTAGATCTTGGTCATTGGAACGATAATCTAACGGCTAAAATTCAGAGTGTGTATACTAGAAAACCTTGACAATTAGTGATAATCAATGGAATCCTTGACTAAGAATCTAATGATTAAAAGTCTTTCTGGTATTGTCTATGATACACGGTGTTTCCCAATATTTTCTTCCGTCGTTCAGTACAATATGATGTTAGTGAGCAAGCCTGAACGCCTGAAATTTTTTTGCGGCTCATATGGTGAAAAGAGTGCATCATTGATCATTTTCATTATTATACTTGTTTTATTTTGGAAAGATTCCCAACATTTTCTTCCATCATTCAATACAAAATGATGTCAATGTTGAGCGATCTTGTATGTCAAACTGATTTGAATTTGAAAATCATTGTGAATCTAAAGAAAGATTGCAACATGTATTTTGGAACGGGTGCCACAACAATTTTGAAATTCAAATCAATTTGGCATACAAGAGTGATGTACACTAGCATCATTTTGTACTCAAGGAAACAAGAAAATGTTGGAAAAGTTCCAAAACAAAACAAGTACAAAAAAAAAAAAAAAAAAAAAAATCAGTGGTGCACTCTTTCCACCATACAAGATGAGCCAAAAAAAAATCTAGGCTTTTAGGCTTGAACCAAAGATCCTTTTCATTTTTATGCTTGTTTTATTTTTAAAATTTTCCCAACGTTCTATTCATTCATTCAGTACAATGGCAGAGTTCATCGATCTTGTAAGTCAAGCTGATGTGAATTTGAATTTGAGAATTGTTGTGACACCTAGTCCAAAAGATATGTTGCAATCTTCCTTTGAGTCCAGAATAATTTCCAATTTCAAATCAATTTGACATACAAGACCGATGAACTGGCATCATTTTGTACTAAAGGAAGAAATCAAATGTTGGAAAACTTTCAATATTAAAACAAGTATAAAAATGAAAAGGATTAATGTGGCACTCTTTCCACCTTACAAGATGAGTCTCAAAAACATTTTCAAGCATTCAGGCTTTGCCCCATTATCCTTTTCAATTTTTATACTTGTTTTATTTTAAAAAGTCTCCTAACATTTTTCTTCCATCCTTCAGTACAGAATGATGCTAATGTTCATCCATCTTGTTTGTTAAACCGATTTAAATTCGCATAAGATAACTCTTCTCATCTCATATCATCACTCTTATCGTTAAACCAATTGTCGCCTTTATAAAGGATGACGTGCTCAAATCCATTTAGTCATGTCACGACTTCCTCAATTAGTGCAACATCTTTATAACGATGTTTGTATTTTTTCCTCCAATACTCACGACATTGACGATAATTTTTTTAAAATATAAATGACCCTCCACCATAAGATATGAACTCTCCTTTCAAGATTGGAGAATATGATGCATCCACAATAATTCAAATAAAAATTATTTCACAAGGAAAAAAAAATGAACATTGTTACTTGATTCAGAATTATTAGAATAAAAAGAGGGAAGTATTATTGACACTCCAAAAATCACATTCTACACTTCTCACAAGTGTATTTTTCTTTCTAAATATAAAAAGTTTGGAGTGTAGAATGAGAAATTTGGAATGCCAATAACAATTCTCTAAAAAAAACATGAGGTAAATTTAGAAGGTCACTCATCGTCGATTTCAATTATTGAAAAATTCCAACTCTAGTTTGTTACTCGTATCATCCCTCAATATCTCCATAACTAACTTCTTGAAGTATTGCGTATATTTTGTGAATGGTCCTATGAATTCCTCATAAGACTAACCATGACCATAACCCGCCCTTGTACAAGAACTATGTTAGCACTGCTTAAATAGCCATGTTCACAACCTTTCACCTCCATATGGTACATTATGTCAATAACATCATTTCATGGGAAAAAAGAAAAGAAAATGCACAATTAACAATATTTCAAAAAATAAATAAATAAATAAATAAATAAACAACCATAATTTCAAGTGAATACAAGAGACAACAAGTCACATAAATATTTTTATTTTCTTTTAAATATTATTTTTTTTGTCAACCAACTTTTGCTAAGCACAAATCTCAAACACCAAACAAATAAAGATGTATAAAATTATCGGAGTCACGTGTAAGGCTAGTGACATAATAATTAAGCCTATTTTTTGTAATGCCTCATGAAATATTTTTGTTTTAGACTTACCAAAGTCATGTGTAAATTGATTTTTAATCGCACTTTACTTACTCTATGGAACTAAAATATTGCTAGTTTGCACACTAAAACTCATATTTGCTCCATTTTGACGGGATATCTATTCTGTAAAAAATGTTGATGTAGAAGGGTAGTATCAATTCATCGTAGTTGGCAATTAAGGACTTTATTTTTTTTTATTACGACGTGGCAGAAGTTGACCCTATACAGTTATAAGGGTTTGTAAGCAGAAATGCATGTGCTATGCATTTTGTGTTCTTTGCATAACAATTTCGATGATTATGATAAAAAAATTGATGATGATAAGTTTGATGGTGATGGTATGATAAATTTGATCATAGGCATAATCAAATGGCTAAGAATAAGGTGATGAGTAATATTGAAAATAGACCACAAGGGACTTATGATCATGGCTAAGCATGAAGAATAGCTCATAATTAGGAAAATTCATGTGTATTATGAGAGGACAGCTGGGTTGCAAACCTGTGATAACATATTGGCCCTGCAAATTTTGGAAGGGGAAGAATTTTCCATGTAGCACCGCATAAACAAACTGACTGAGAGTTGTAAAATGAAAATGGTGAGATATCGACGAAAAATTGAAGCAAAAATTAGGAATTTGGGGCTAATATGCAAATTTTGGGGTTACTTTTGTGAAATTTGGGGATCAAGTTTGTGATTCTTCAAGAAGGGAGAAGACTTGCCAATTTGACCAGAATACTCTTCTTCATTTTGCCAAATAGAAGTCATGTAAGCAATATTCCTTCCATATTAGCTTATTTGTCAACCTTTTGACGAAATGGACGGAATTCATCTAAGTGAAGTGAATATAATTATACATAAGGATAAGTTGTTCAACAAACTTACCTAATGCTCTAAGAGAACGATTAACATATCCTTTTGATGATCATAGTAGTTTCTTTCATAAAATGTCTCCAAAGCTAATACGAATGTGAAAAGGCAAGGTTTAGGTTGTCCCTCTTGCTTTGGCAGTTGCTCTTGCTCTTGATAGTAAAGTTCATATTGTTCACCTGATTGTAGTTGTAATAGTACCTCTGGATAATCTCTATCATAACCACCACCATATGATGATGAAGCACCATCTTGGCTACCTTGATAGTAAGAATGAGGATGCCCATAAAACATTTATTGTGCAGCTGATTGTACTTGCAAGTGTTGCTCTGGGTAGTCATCATCATGACCACCATCATGTTCATGGTCACTTCCGTAATGAGGATATTGTTCATAATTACCCTCATATAGTAGTCCCAAACAATATTGAGGGGGATCACCACTCATCTTGTTGTAAAATTTGGAAATTTAAATAAGAACTTTCTATTTTTGTATTATGAGTTTCATGTCAACTTGTATTTTGAAATTTATAGTGTATTTAGACTAAATGACTAACACATAATTATTGTGGGTTTACCATTTGGCATGTATTTTATATTGCTTTCATACCATGTTCTGATCATGAATGTTTTCTTCCAAACCTCGATCCGATTGGTGTGAAGCTAGTTGGTTACATGTCCATGCCAACAAGAATCGAAAAAAGGGGATTGAGGTATAATAAAGGGTAAATTACAATTGTACTTTGAAGTTTGTGTGCAATTACAACCTCATCCACCATCTTTAAAACATTTCAATCTCACATAATTATTTATATTTCATTTCAGTTTTGTACAATGGTTAATAATTAATCCGTTAAACTAATCATTAAAACATAAAGCCCATATATTTTGATGATTTGTCAAATAAAAATAATTAAATATTAAAAATCAATTTAAAAGCAAACTAAATTAAAGAAAAGCGAGCCCCCACCTACTCACCCTCTTCCCCAAGCTTTCTTGCAAAGCAGCAGCCGCTTGACAAAATCCCTAATTTTGTTTTCTAGGTTAGTTCGACCTAATCAAAGCATCTTTTTCTTCTCTTTCTTTTCTTTCTCCCTCTCCTCCCCTTTCGAACTCGAACTTCAGCTCTAGAAGCTTCGCAAACTCACGGGCTAGATTTCCAATGGCAAATAACAAGACTGTCAGAGAATCTCCAATAGAAGGAGCGGGTATGCCGTAGATCCGAATACTGACGAGTTTTCAAGTGGAACGGGTCGTCATGGACTACAGCAACGTCGCCCCTTGGACCCCTATACGATTTTGAAGTCAAAGATGTGGATCTTGGTGGTTATCTCCGTCGCTTCGAGTGTCGCTTGGTTGGTGGTAAAATGGGCAAACTTGAAATACGACATGCGTCGTTGCAGCGTGAAGTCCTTGTAGTGGTTATAGTTGGGTTTGTGGATTTGGGAGAAAGGATGGGAAGATGAGGGAGGGGTTGTAATGGGAACCAGAGATTACGAAGAGGTATGATTAAATTCATTGAAAGGGGTGGGGCACACTTGGCATAAACTTTTTTATTAAAAAATTATTTTATACTTGGTTTATTTATTTGGACAAATTTTAATTGCCATGTCATCACTT